GATTGTTGTTGTTGTAGCGTCGCTGGGTGTGAAACGCGAACTCTGGTACTGACGTTTTCTTCTTATGTCGTTCTTCTTGCAGGTCCATGTCCTGCTGCTCGGCATGGATTTCGGCGCAGAGTGCTGCTTCGAAGATTCTCGCGTGTGCTCGTAGTATGGCGCGAGTGGAGCGCCAGTGAGGGCCAAGACCGCCGATGACAACCGTGACAAAGGCGTCTTCTGAAATCGATCCTCCACATCGAAGAAGCTTGTCGCGCAGCTCGCGGCAGCGACTGATATGCGCCATTCCCTTCTCGCCTGGTTTCATTCCGATTGTTGTTAGCTGCGCCATTAACCGACTTTGGTTTACGCTGTCTGTTGCTTGATAAAGGTTCTTCAAGTGGTTGTACGCGAGCTCCGCGGAGTTACCGTAACCTCGATAAGTCCTTATATTCTGCTGTTGAGTCGGGGTGATGTTCCTCAGTAGTATTGTGTACGCCATCATCGATTGATAGGTGTACTGCTGCTTCTCATACTGTGTGCCGTTTGTTGGGTATGGCAGGGACCCGTCGAAGAAGCCAAGAATCTGCGCTCCTTCCATCATCAGCTCGAATTCAAACGACCAGGTAAAGAAGTCCTTCCCGTCGAAGGGTTTTGTCGTTTGTAATTTTAGAACATGCGCGAACTGCGACCGAACTCGTAGTGCGTCCAGCGCTCTTTCTTGTCCCGGTGCAGGTTGTGGTTGCGGCATGAAGCTGACGGAGCCGCGCTGGGGCTCGTACGGAGCGAAGGTAGGTTGTTGATGTTGATTCTCGCGTGCGTAGGATGAGCAATCGAGACTCATGGGCGTCACGTTGTTGTTGTTGTTGCTGTTGTTTGATTGCGTAGGTACTCCTTGCTGATGCTGCTCGTAGAAGGACATGAAGGAGAAGAATTTCTCCATCATGCTTGGATCAAAGCCCGCGCCTTGGTTTGCGGGTGTTTCAGTAGACCCAGCTGCTGGTCTCGTTGTTGTTCCTTCCTCTGTCTGTAGGCCAGAGGCAGGTGGTGGAGTAGGGGTAGTACCGGGAGAGCCGTTGGAGGAGCTCCTCTCCTTTCTAGCAGACATGTCTTCTTGGTGTATTAGGTATTGAAGAAAAGAGAAATTTTAACTCTAACCTGCTCATACCACGTTGTGCTGAAAGCCTTAGGATCTTTGGTAGAGTTAAAGTCTGAGTGAATGATGTAGTAGCGGAAGCGTTTTGAATAAAGTCCTTGAACCACCTTGCGCTAGTATGTGAGGGCAAAGTAAGTTGATTAAAGCAAAGAGATACAGGAATATATATATGAGTACAGAGAATATGAAGAGACATAATTGTAACTACTTTACTGTTGCGGTTCGATACAGTGCGACTCGGGCAACTGCTCAGTGTCGAGTCAGTTGTATGTCCTTGCTGTCGCGCTGCATTTGTCAGGTCAAAGGTCGCTGACCTTTGACTTTCGCGTAACCTCTAGCGGTTACATCAACCTCCGAGGGTTGACTCGCTGGTGCTTCGATTGCGTTGCTTCGCTTGTGTCTTGGAGTTTCGACACGACAGAGGCGCTTAAACTATTTGTTCCCAACACTCCCGTTCGCTTATGGAGTGTCGCTGATGGTGACGTGGCTTTGTCCAGTCAGCAGCATGCAGTACTCGAATTTCTGTTTTCCGAGCTTCTTGGTCAAGTAGTCAGCTGCCATCTCGGACGTGGGACAGTAGGATAGTTCAAGTTTCCCTTTCTCGATCTCGTCCTTCACGAAAAAATATCGCAGAGCGATATGCTTCGTTCTGTTCGCGAATCCGCTTTTGTTGGCGATGCGAATCGCAGATTGGTTGTCGCAGAACAGAGTGAAGTTGGGTAACTCGGCTAGCTTCGCTTCTTCCAGCAGCTCGCAAAGATAGAGTCCTTCCTTGGTGGCTGAGCAGAGTGCGATATATTCTGCTTCAGCTGATGAGAGAGCGATTAGTTCCTGCTTGCTCGATTGCCAGGAGATAGGTCCGATAGGTTCGAGGCGGTAGATGTAGCCAGTGCGAGAGCGTCTTTTGTGTGAATCGCCGACGTGATCGGCGTCGACGTAGCCGATTAGTTTCGTCGGTGTAGTTTTGCTCTTGTAGTATGTCAGGCCGATCGTTGAGGTGCTCACGAAGTAGTGGAGAGCGCGGTCAAGTTCCGCCATGTGTTCTGTTTCGGGCCTTTTGAGGTAGGTAGCGAGTTGACTTGCAGAGTAGGACAGATCTGAGCGGCAGGTGACGACTGCGAAGAGAAGGCAACCCATCTTTCTCTGGTAGTCGCGTATTCCGGCGGTTTTGAGTAGAGCGGGACCTCCCTTGTCGTTCCCTGCCATGTAGCGGTATGGCGTGGAGATAGTAGTAGGTGTGAGCGCGAAGGGTTTGGCGATAGTGTCGGCATATTTTTCGGTGCTGAGATAGATCGCGTTCTCTTCTTCGCGGATGTTGAGGCCGAGGTACTGAGTGACGGTAGAAGAGACCGTGAGTGTGAGGTCCCTCTGCAGCTCCCCTTTGAACCAGGTGGTTATGTCGTCAGTAGAGCCGATGTAGAGTAAATCTTCGACGTAGACGATCAGCAGGATGTAGTCGGCGTTTTTGGTGAGTCGGTACATTCCTTGGTCGTGAGGCAGTTGGCGGAATCCGATGCGAGTGAGGCGAGTGTGTAGGTGCTGTTGCCACAGCCGCGGGGCTTGTTTGATTCCATAGAGCGATTTCAGTAATTGACAGACTTGGTTAGGTTCCCCGTGGGTACCGTGTGGGAGTTCGACGAAGATTTCGGCGTCGACGGGCGCGTAGAGGAAGGCGTTAGCGACGTCGATCTATCGCAGTTTCTTCTTCTTCATAGCGGCGATCGCGAGGAGAATTCGGAGTGAGGTATGTCGGCTGATTGGGGCAAATGTCTCTGTGAAGTCCCGTCCGTGCTCCTGGTCGAATCCACGCACGACCCAGCGTGCTTTGAATTTCTCGATTGTGCCGTCTGCCTTTGTTTTGATGCGGAAGACCCATTTCCCGGTGAGGATGGTCTTGTTCCTTGCCACGCTTACGGGAACGACTTTCCAGGTGTTACGTTCCTCCAGCGCCTTTAATTCTCTGTCCATGGCTTCACGCCATTTCTCCTTGTGTTCCCCCCCCAGAGCCTGCTGAACCGTCGCAGGCTCTTTAGGAATAGCATTGCCGTGGACTGCAATGACGAGGCCGAGAATCTGCAGTCCAGTCTGTGAGTAGCAGGGGAGAGTTGTGTCCTCGGGATAGGCTGCTTCATCTCCCGCTTCTGGGTCGGGTATGAAATTCGGCCCTATCTGTTCTGCTTCGTTGGTGTTGACTGTCGCAGGTGTTACGTAACTGTTGTCGGCGAAGTGGTAGAAGACTTCGGCGTTGGCGCTTTCGCGAGGTTTCTCTTCGTCCATGGGGACGTTGACGGAGCAGAACGGGAGAGGTCCGGCTTCTTCTGACGCGTTGTCGACGTTCTGCTCGTCCCAGTCTGCTTCGTCGTTGGGATGGCGCGTTGGGTGCTCTGTATCATGTGTGTTGGGATGAGAGGGCTCGTGAAGTGCTTGACGTGCTGGGGGTGGTAGACGTGTCGCATGGAGCCAGGTGTGAAAATGGCTCCCAAAATTTGCATTCCGTGCACGTTCGCGCGCAGCGCACGACCGCCACATCGTCCAGCATGGCACGAATTGGTGACTGCCGCATACACTGGCCTGACGCCTGTTCGTTAGATGGAACCGTGTTCCGGGAAGTCATCACGATCACGCGACACCCTGCGAGCATTTCTATTGGTTCGCTCAGTCATTCCAATCTTGATAACTGGTGTTTTATAACGTACATGATGTCAAACTACATTCTTGATAGGAGGTTTCTTGATAGGAGGTCGTAGGAATACGCCCTCAGAGCATGATGTGAACCTGTTATCTGTATATATTTTTGGTTATCTGGCCATAAGTGAATAATGTCCGAGCGAATGGCCTGCATAAGGGAGCAGCTTACAGGCTGTGTTGTCTAGTGGTCTGGCCATTCAGAACCAGGGTACTTGTGGGACACGCAATCCCCGCTGGCGCTGGTCAGGAAGAGCCACGTGCAACAGAGGCCACCTGGCAGCATTAGATTGAGCACGAATCCCACCATAGCTTGTTATTCATGGTTCTGGTTCGGTTAGGTACGGCAACACATGGAGTTCTTGAGGGCCTCACGAATGGGTGAGGGAACCAAACTGTCCTTAGAAAATCTTTCTGATCATCAAATTCCATCCCAGTTCAGAAAATTGGAAATTTCAATCTGGATTCTGGAGCTTGAAGCTGCTCGCGTGTTCTCTCTTGAACAACGCGTACTTGTGCCGATTCCGTGTCCGGTCATTACCGCGCCTCGCTGATTCAATTCGAGAGGGGTCATTTCCGTGTCTTACGCGAAAGCTTGCCGGATAATCGCGGAGGAGCACGGAGTCATGGCTGCATTGCATGCGGTGTCGCATGTTAGCGGCGGGCTGTCGTCAGTATCCCGTGCTTCTCCTCGCGTTCTGTCAGCTCAACGGAAATCATCGTTTGAGCCGTCTCAAGCGGCTTACCCTGCCGACAGCTGTCTTCTGCGAGGCGATTTTCTTCAGAAAGGCTGCTTGCGAGCAACCACGTGGCAAGCAGGCTTTGGTGGCCAGGGACCGTCGCAATCGCTGGCCATTTGGTGGAATGGCCACCCGTCGAGACGAGGCCGCGTTTCAGTGACTGGTGCGAAGGCGAGCGTGTCCGCCGCGACGTCTATCAATACAGTCGTGTTTTCGCTTATATCAATCAGTGATCATGCAGAGTCGCAAATAAGTGTCGGTTTTTTACACACATCGTGTTAACTATCACGTGTTTCATTCCCATTTTTCCTTTCACCGTTCCTCCACCACCCCCTCCCGTTCCTCCCTATTCTCTCCTCACCGTAACCTCCGTTCCCCCTCCCTCCGCCTCCTTGCGCGCTTTTACGGCAACAGCGTCCGCGTCATCTGGATTCGACGAGATGGTGGCGGGGAGGACGCGGAAGTACTACATGGTTGGGGGGAAGGGCGGTGTGGGGAAGACGAGCGTTTCCGCCGCTCTGGCAGTGAAGTTCGCCAACGAGGGTCATCGCACGCTGGTCGTTTCCACTGACCCCGCGCACTCCCTCAGCGACTCCTTCGCCCAGGTGGGACTCTAGGATGCAACGGCCGGCGCGTGCTTTCAGGATAGGATGGAAGAACAGCGTGTGTCGGTGGCTCTGGCAGTGAAGGTCGCCAACGAGGGCCATCGCACGCTGGTGGTTTCCACCGACCCCGCGCATTCTCTCAGCGACTCCTTCGCCCAGGTTGGTCTCAGGCGCCTGTGAGGTGTGTGCTTTCAGGTTAGGATGGAAGACGAGCGTGTGTCGGTGGCTCTGGCAGTGAAGTTCGCCAACGAGGGCCATCGCACGCTGGTGGGTTCCATCGACCCTGCACACTCCCTCGGCGACTAATTCGCCCAGGTGAGACTCAGGTGTCTGTCAGGTGGGGCTCAGGTACATTTCAGGTGTTTGCCGGTGGGGATCAGTGTTTGTCGCTCGCCGGTGGCTGACCTGCTGTTGTCCCTAAACCTGACCGTTCCCCATCTCCCCCCACCCTCCCGCTTTACCATACCAGGACGTGTCAGGAGGGAAGCCTGTGGCTGTGGAGGGAAACCGACCTTTGCCTTTGTTGGGTCTGACTCTCCTTTCTTTCTTTCCCCACTCTGACTCTCCTTTCTTACTTTCCCCACTCTGACTCTCCCCCACCCTCCTGCTTCACCATACCAGGACGTGTCAGGAGGGAAGCCTGTGGCTGTGGAGGGCACCGACCTGCCTCTGTTCGCCATGGAGGTGAGAGCAAATGGAGGGTGCGATTATAAGGGGAGGATCTGGGGAGGAGACATGTTGACCTGCACGGGGCATGTGCCACACGTGATAAAAGTGTTGTTTTGAGACGTCTCAAAACAACACTTTTATCTGGGGATGAGACATGTTGACCTGCATGGGGCATGTGCAACACGCATTCCCTGTTCCTCTGGCCATGACACTTTTTCCTTCCTCCTTACACCAGCAACTTCTCATTCCATCTGACTCCACAACATCTCTGACTCCGACCCCCACGCCCATCTATTTTTGTGGCAACAGATCGACCCAGAGCAGGCGCGGGAGGAGTTTCGGACAGCAACAGGGAAGGATGGCGGCAAGGGCGTGAAGGACTTCATGGACTCCGTGGGGCTGGGCGGCTGGGTGGACCAGGTTCGTGTTGTGAATGCTATGCACTCTATAACGCGGATAACCATGTGAAGCTATCTTATATGGTGGCGTGGGTGGATGGAGGATGGCGGCAAGGGCATGAAGGACTTCATGGACTCCGTGGGGCTGGGCGGCTGGGTTGACCAGGTGCGTGATCTGGACAGCTTTGGATCCCCATCGCAATGCCACACCATTGCATTCTCTCACCCTTCCTCTTCTTTTCCCCCTTCCCCTCGTGGATCGTTTTAGTCAACAGAAATCTTTTCCTCCTCTCCTGCCTCCCGCTCTCTCCGCCGATTTGCTGTCTGCAGCTGAGCGAGCTGAAGCTGGGAGAGCTGCTGGATACGCCACCGCCGGGGCTGGACGAGGCTGTTGCCATTGCCAAGGTAGGTTGGGGGGAGATTTGGGGTGAAGGGAGGGGGCGAGAGAAGGATACGGGTGGAAGGAAGCGGGGGTAGGGGAGCTCTGGGCGGGCGAGCTGAAGCTGGGAGAGCTGAAGCTGGGAGAGCTGAGCTGGGAGAGCTGAGCTGGGAGAGCTGCAGCTGGGAGAGCTGCAGCTGGGAGAGCTGCAGCTGGGAGATCTGAGCTGGGAGAGCTGCAGCTGGGAGAGCTGCAGCTGGGAGTGCTGCAGCTGGGAGAGCTCAGCTGGGAGAGCTGCAGCTGGGAGAGCTGCAGCTGGGAGAGCTGAGCTGGGAGAGCTGAGCTGGGAGAGCTGCAGCTGGGAGAGCTGCAGCTGGGAGAGCTGCAGCTGGGAGAGCTGCAGCTGGGAGAGCTGCAGCTGGGAGATCTGAGCTGGGAGAGCTGAGCTGGGAGAGCTGCAGCTGGGAGAGCTGCAGCTGGGAGAGCTGAGCTGGGAGAGCTGAGCTGGGAGAGCTGCAGCTGGGAGAGCTGCAGCTGGGAGAGCTCAGCTGGGAGAGCTGCAGCTGGGAGAGCTGCAGCTGGGAGAGCTGCAGCTGGGAGAGCTGCAGCTGGGAGAGCTGCAGCTGGGAGAGCTCAGCTGGGAGAGCTGCAGCTGGGAGAGCTGCAGCTGGGAGAGCTGCAGCTGGGAGAGCTGCAGCTGGGAGAGCTGAGCTGGGAGAGCTGCAGCTGGGAGAGCTGCTGGATACGCCACCGCCGGGGTTGAACGAGGCCGTTGCCATTGCCAAGGTAGGTTGGGGGGGAGGGGGAAAGGTTGTGTGGGTTCAACGGAGGCATCTAGAGAGGGGGGTGGTGTTGGAAGGAAGCTGGGAGAGCTGCTGGATACGCCACCGCCGGGGCAGGACGAGGCTGTCGCCATTGCCAAGGTAGGGTGGGGTGGAGATCTTTAAAGTGGACTCAGTAGGGGTGGATGAGGCAGTGGTGATTGTTGAGGTGGTTGTGCAGTATATGCAGGCGCCTTATTATCCAGTTCATGCAGGCGCCTTATTATCCAGTTCATGCAGGCGCCTTATTATCCAGTTCATGCAACTTCAGTGAAACTGGTTATTATCTGAATCTCTTCCAACTCACCCTGAAGTTGCATGAACTGCACATCGGCCAACCAGTTTCACTCGCTGTGTTCTCCTTTTCCGGTTTGCCCCCTGATGTATTCTTCCCCTCTCACCTCCACGTACCTCCCCTCACTCCTCTCACATCCTCTCTCCCGTCTCCACCACACTCTCTTCCACCAGGTGGTGCAGTTCATGCAATCGCCCGAGTACAGTGACTTTACTCGCATTGTCTTCGACACTGCACCCACGGTGGGCCCCATAGCGTGCTTTCCCATTCCCATTCCCATCCCCATCCCCATCCCCATCCCCACCCCTGTTCCCTCCGTGGTTGTCTATCTACACAGCCCTTCCTCCAGTCTGTCACATTCTCTTGATGTATGTTCGTTCTTTGAGGGACTGCACTTTTCCGGGTGACCCTGCCATGTCTGTACTTCTTCCTCACTTCTTCTTTTTGCATCTTCCTTTCTTCCTCACTTCTTTTTGCATCTTTGTTTCTTCCTCGCTTTGTGTGTGTGTGTGTGTTTTCCCCTCCACAAATTCTCTCTGCCAGGGGCACACACTTCGGCTCCTTTCCCTCCCCGACTTCCTGGACGCTTCCATTGGGAAAATTCTCACAGTGAGAGCTAGCTCTAGGTGCAAGGCTACTAATATGATGTTTTATTCAACAACTGCCCTCATGTTGAGTCGTTCCCCTTCCCTGCCAGCAGCCCTTTCTCTACCAGACTGTATGTAACACTTTTCTTGTTTGTCCTCTTCTGCTACCCTCTACTGCCCCATGCTCTATCGCTCCCTTGCCCTGTCCGAAGCTCAAGTTCAAGATCATCTCTGCCACGTCAGCAGTCAGTCGAATCGTGTTTTATGTCGGCTTAAAAGACACCCTCTCATTCCGCTCGTGTTGTGTTGTTCCCCTCCCCTACCCGCAGCTCAAGTCTAATACCCGCGACATTGGGAGGGTGTGTTTCAATGCTGGGTCGACTCGAAAGACACCCTCCCAATGCCCATTGCCCCTCGTGTTGTATTGCTCCCCTCTGTGCCCGCAGCTCAAGTCCAAGATCTGCTATGCCACGTCAGCAGACAGTCAGGTCCCCTTTTGAGGTGTCTCAAAAGACTTTCCCCCCACTCACTGCCTGTGTGCTGCATGGTTCTCATTTCCCTGCTCGCAGCTCAAGAACAAGATCAGCTCTGCCACGTCAGCAGTCAAGTCTCTCTTTGGGCAGGAGGACGGCAAGCCTGACACAGCGGTGAGTATGACATGGGGAGAGGTGGGGGTGGGGGTGGGCAGGGGTTGGGGGAGGTAAGAGGTGTGGGCTGGATTGGGTGGAGGTGGGGGGAGGTGAGAAGAGGTGGGGAGATTTGGGGGAAAGTGGGAAGAGCTCAGTGTTGAGTTGACTCACGAGTCGACTAGAGTGCCTCCTATCATTGTGTCACTGTAACTCTGTATCCATAATCAACAAAAATATAATGTGACTGATTGTGAATGTGACATTACGAATGTGACTGCAGGTGGAGAAGCTGGAGCAGTTGAAGGAGCGGATGGTGATGGTGAGGGAGATTTTCCGCGACCAGAAGGCCACGGAGTTCATTATAGTCACAATCCCCACAATCATGGCTATTAATGAGAGCGCCCGCCTGCTGAAATCACTTGAGGTGGAGGGTGTGCCGGTGAAGCGGCTTATAGTGAATCAGATCCTGCCCAAGTCCAACACTGACTGCAAATTCTGCAACATCAAACGCAAGGTACATCCGCCGTGCAATTTCAAGTGCTTATTTTGGCAACATCAAGTGCATATTTTGTACTGCCCAAGAGGTTTCAACATCAGGGGCAAAGGGCAGCCACTCTGTTTTGTGCACATTCGTTTCACAACGCCACAGGACCAGCAAAGGGCATTAGACATTGTGGAGGTAGACAGAGACTGAGCCACCTGCGGGTGACTAAACTGCCTTTTCTTTACCCGTCCTGCTCTTGCCTCGGTGCCTCTCTCGCCCCCCTCCTTCTCCTCGCCACAGGACCAGCAAAGGGCATTAGACATCGCTGAGGCAGACAGGGAGCTGAGTCACATGCGGGTGATTCAATCGGCTACTTCTTACCTTGAATACTACTTTCCCCATTGCCTCCCTCACACCCCCCCTCACCCGCCCTCTGCTTCCTCGCCACAGGACCAGCAAAGAGCATTTGACATTGTGGATGCAGACAGAAAGCTGAGTCGCCTGCGATTGAATCAACTGCCTTTTCTTTACCCTTCCTGCTATTGCCTCTGTGCCACTCTCGCCCTTGCTCCGTCTTTTCACCACAGGACCAGCAACGAGCGTTAGACATAGTGGAGGCAGACAAGGAGTTGAGCCACCTGAGGGTGATTCAATCGCCCCTCTTTGACCTTGAGATCCGCGGTGTGCCAGCTCTCAAGTTCATGGGGGACCTTGTGTGGCGGTAACACTGCGTTTTGATGACTAGCTGTGAGGTATTGCTTTGTTCCAAAAACGCTTTGAAAGCAGACTCGAGATTTGTTGCATGCCGGTTCTCAAGTTCATGGTAGTGCCATGTGGGGCGGTGGTGACTTGTCAGTCGTTAATACCTAGCGTGCTTCATACAAACCACATCTGCTACAAGTCAATGCACACTTCGTTGCATTCCAATGAAAGAAAGGAAGAAATATTGTACGAACAATGAACAAAATGCAAGCATAAACAAGAAATTGTTAGAAAGAAATTTCACTAACTAGAATGAGATTGTACCGGTACGAGTGGGTGCATGTGCAAACCTCCCTGCATAGGGCACCTCTATCAGGCCTACAATAGAAACACATGCAATGTAAATGTATAACCCCTAGACTAAGGTGTTTAAAGTATATATCTATATTTGAGCTAGGCTATAGTGAGGTAGGTATGTTGTAGGGAGTAACAACTCGTTACGGTTAGCTATTTGTACCCTAAGGGCAGGTCCAACTTTGCACACTCCCGTTTTTTCGTTATTTTTACGTCAATGCAGTAGTCAGACTTGACTGTACCCCAGGGCGAACTTCAAACATTTCCTGTCCAGTTTTGAGTGCACAATTTGGACTTTTGACAATGTACAGTAACGCTGTGGGGTACAGTACCTGGGATGAGGGGTTACCCAATAAAGCGAGGTTTTTCGCACGAGCGACGGAGGGGGGATTCCTTGGCGAATAACAAATTATCGAAAAAGGGTGTTACCGGTACCTTTTGGCGTGTTTGACGCGAAACGAGTTTGACGTGAACCTTCGAACGTGTTCTGCACTTCCCCAGGCACGTTTCCATAATGTCATCATACATGTACAGTCTCGCGTCAAATGGATTCTGGTACGTTTGTAGTTCTGTTACATGCCGAAATGTGGTAACTGAGCTGAAAATTTATCGTACATGTGCAAAGTTGGACCCGCCCTAACCTTGCTAGTCCAATTCATTCTGTTGTTCTCATTTTGACATCAGGGGCAGTGTAAGAGCAAGCTCAGGGTGGCACCAATAGTCTAGTCTCTAAGACCAGTCAAGAAGTGCAACAGAGTGAGCAATGTACAACTCAAGACGGTACTACTGTCATCGCCCGGATAGAAGATAGTGTTGAATTGAAGACATAGTGTCTTTCAAATGGGTGGTTTCTTATAAACGGAACTTCTATTTATAAAATACCCATGGGGCTATATAGGATAAGACACCCCCCCTTGGGGTGTCTTCTAAATGGAAAGCAGAGTTTCCTAGCAGAAAATTGTCAAATACGAAGCACACACATGTCTAGCTAGGACAAAATACCGTATTTAGTGTTTTTTTTCCCTCAGCAGTCACGCATTTTGCATCAGTTACTCTAGCACGGGATGAGCGGCCTTCTCGTGCTGCTCCTGCTACTGTCCATGCGTGCTTGGCGGTCTCTTCAGGCTCCACGAGCTTATCTGCAGCAGCTGCTGCACCTCTGTAGTTTGGGGTGTCGGGGTAGGGGTCATAAGTGGTTGGAGTCGCAACAGCTGCAGGGGGCACCACGTCCTCTTCGAAGTCCGCCACAAGGTCCTCCTCTGCTACCTCTACGGTGCCGTCTCTCCCCACAAACCAACTGTTGTCACCCGTCGTCCCCCGCAACGACATGTCCTCGGAGACATCGGTCGTGTTCCAATTCATTCCGTTGTTCTCATTTTGACATCAGGGGCAGCGTAAGAGCAAGCTCAGGGTGGCACTAATAGTCTAGTCTCTAAGACCAGTTAAGAAGTGCAATAGAGTGAGCAACGTACAACTCAAGACGGTACTACTGTCATCGCCCGGAAAGAAGATAGTGTTGAATTGAAGACATAGTGTCTTTTAAACAGGTGGTTTCTTATAAACGGAACTTCTGTTTATAAAATACCCATGGGGCTATATAAGATAAGACACCCCCCCCCTTGGGTGTCTTCTAAATGGAAAGCAGAGTTTCCTAGCAGCAAATTGTCAAATACGAAGCACACACATGTCTAGCTAGGACAAAATACCGTATTTAGTGTTTTTTTTCCCTCAGCAGTCACACATTCTGCATCAGTCACTCTAGCACGGGATGAGCGGCCTTCTCGTGCTGCTCCTGCTACTGTCCATGCGTGCTTGGCGGTCTCTTCAGGCTCCATGAGCTTATCTGCAGCTGCTGCTGCACCTCTGTAGTTTGGGGTGTCGGGGTAGGGGTCATCAGTGGCTGGAGTCGCAGCAGATGCAGGGGGCACCACGTCCTCTTCGAAGTCTGCCACAAGGTCCTCCTCTGCTACCTCTACGGTGACGTCTCTCCCCACAAACCCACTGTTGTCACCCGTCGTCCCCCGCAGCGACATGTCCTCAGAGACATCGGTCGTGCTCCTTTCATGTTGGTGGGCCAGGACGAGGTGGTTCTCCGTGCTGTCAAGGCTACTGGAAATGCCGCACGTCTCGAAGGCCTTGATGATGATCTCGGTCGGGACATCATCCCAAGCCTCGTCGATCCACTGGAGCACCAACGCATGCGACGGGCGCTTGAGGTTTCCTGCCACGACCAAGACAAGCAACCTCAGTGCAGAATCAGAGACCGACACGAGCGCTTGAGGTTTCCTGTCAATACCAAGACATGCAACAGCGGCGCATTTGTTGGTCCATGCAAACGCATCGCACGAGGGTAATCCAAACTCACCTTTTGGGGTGCGCAGGTTAATGCCGTGCCGCATGAACCACCGGCAATACCGCGCCCGAACACCGGCTTTGAAGGCCCGGTTGATCGCGACATCTGGCGGCTGAAGCAGCGGGGTGCAGCCAACGGGGATGATGGCTGGCACGATGCTGTGGGTGCGGTACGCCGCTAGCATGCCCGGGGTGATGTGCCCCCGGTATGAGTCCAGTACAAGCATCGCACGCTTGGCCGCTTTCCCCTTCTCCGGGTTCAGGAATGGCAAGATTTCCTTGGTGAGCCATGTGCTGACGGCTGCCTCATCCATCCAGCCATTGTCTTGTGCTTGTGCCACCATAATGAAGCACACATCAGACAATAGCCAGCACGCCATTTGCGGATTCGGGTTTCATAACGTCGAATCCCAGATATTATGCTTACCTGTTGGTATGTCGCATTTTGGAACATTCTTCAGCTTGAACCATACCCACGGTCGGAGCTTTTCACTCGCTGCAGTGCACGCCAACATCACAGTCACTCGTTGCTTCTCGTAGCCCGCCATCCTTGTCAGAGGTCCATTGGTGATCCTCGATTGATCCTAGGGAAGGGTTACAGACATGTTGGCCTGGGGGGTTATGGGCGCACTGACCCGCTACTTAACAAGCACTTTTATCCCAATGGTCTAGTGGTTGGGATTCTGACATGGTATCAGAGCGAAGGTCTCGGGTTCGAATCCCAGTGTGTGCACCTCGGGCATCTCAGTGCAGGGGGGTGTCAGAGGTCCAGTGGAGATTCCCGATTGATCCTAGGGAAGGGTTACAGGCACGTTGGCATGGGGGGTTATGGACGCACTAACCCGCTACTTAACAAGCCCTTTTATCCCAGTGGTTAGTGGCTGAGATTCTGACATGTTATCGGAGCGAAGGTCTCGAGTTCGAATCCCGGTGTGTGCACTTCGGGCATCCCAATGTAGGGGGGTGTCAGAGGTCCACTGGTGATCCCCGATCGATCCTAGGGAGGGGTTACAGACACGGCGTCATGGGGGGTTATGAGCGCACTCACCCGCTACGTAAACAAGCCCTTTTATCCCAGTGGTCTAGTGGCTGGGATTCTGACATGATATCAGGGCAAAGGTCTCGGGTTTGAATCCCAGTGTGTGCACTTCGGGCATCCCAGTGCAGGGGGGTATCAGAGGTCCACTGGTGATCCCCGATTGATCCTAGGGAAGGGTTACAGGCATGTTGGCCTGGGGGGTTATGGACGCACTGACCCGCTACTTAACAAGCCCTTTTATCCCAATGGTCTAGTGGTTGGGATTCTGACAGTCCTGATAGGCACGGACCGCGTCCCTTAGTGCTCAACTGTCCTCGCTGGAGGCATCTCGACGAAAAGTGAGGTTTGATCCGCATTGATGATGCGTGACAAGTCGATGGCGTGCCGAACGCGGTTGATGCGGACAAGTTCCCAAAAGGACTCGCAATCCTCCGCACACTCTGCGCACCGCACAAAGAGCACAGAGAAAGGAAAGAATGAGTGGATCATGCTTCAGAATTTGGTGTACTTTCAAGCAACACTGCAGCAAAACATGCACGGATAGTTTAACAGAAGGGCTATGGGGAGAAAGAGGACTCACCGTTGGACATTTTTTGACCAACCTTGGTCTTCACTCGGATGACGAGGTTCCACCGATCCCTAAAACGCTGGCTCCAATGAGAGGATGCGGTCCACGCGGTCTCTGGGCAATGTTTCTTCTTCCATGTGCGACTCCACAATGTGCTTTGTTCTGTGCTCCAGTCTCTGCTCTCGACACAAGGCCAGCATGGCCTTGTTGTCTACGTACAGGACTGGAGGAGAACGAGGCGGCTCTCCAAGGTCGGTCAGCAGGTAGGTGAGCCAGCGAAGCTCCTGTGCAGCCATGGCCCCGGCGTAGATCTCAGCCTCACAACAAGAGCCGAGAACAGAAGACGAGCGAGTAGCCCGCCAAGAAACAGAGCCGGAACCAAGGCTGAAGGTGTAACCCTATGACGACCGCTGCGTAGCCTGGTCGTCAGCCCAAGAAGCGTCCGCGTGCCCAGTGAGGACCACTGGACTCCGCCCTCCAAGCACTAGCCCCATGCCCGACGTACTGCACAAGTAGCGCAACACCCTCTTCGCTGCAGCCATGTGCTTTGGTCTGTGTCTCCCAGGAGCAACATAGCATGCCAAGATGCTAAGAGGGTATGCAAGGTCAGGTCGCGTGCAGGTCATCAGGTACATGAGGGAGCCAACAAGCTCTGGGTACGGGCCACTCGACTCTACGGACTCATCCGAAGGGAGAGCTGAGAGCGAGTG